TTATGAGTCGTTACCCATTTGAGATCGTGAAAGAATCACTCTCTACTCTGTGGTTGTGCAAAAGCTTTGAAAAAAATAGGACGTTCCTATGAGATAACCATACTTTGTGACACCCTTTCATTATACATCACTTAAATGTAAGTATGACTTCTTTAATTGAAAGTATTCTTGGACATTCCCAAAGATGTAATTAGCTAAATGGGATATGTTCCTTTAGGAGCTCTTGAACACCCAAACAAAACACATAAATTTGTTTCTTTGGTTACGCGGGTAGCTTATGTAGGTATTCTTTCACGGATATTTGGTTCAAGGTGTCTCAATTTGGTCCTAGTTGGACTTCCATTTTTGTTCTATCACACGAGGCTTACCTCACATAAGCTCTTCAGATTCTTTCTTCAAATAATCTACTTAGTCTCCATCTTATTTCCCTCTTTTCCAATCGCTCCTCTTCTTAGAATCATTCTAATGATTCATATAAGAGGGTTCTTTGGAAAGGGAATTATAAGACGACGATCAGACATGCCAGCGACTCTAAGCTATAAAAAGAACCAAAAACATCTTCAAACGCTAGTACGTTGCCCTAGGATTTTTGCGCCCAAAGGACATTACATTATAAAAAAAACTCCCTTGATCGTGATAATAGAGGTTTTATTGGTGTGGGTCAGGTGCATCTTTATTTGATGGTAACATGAGAAGGCATCCAGAAAGCTAATGACGGGGTTGTCGATAGTAAAATCTACTAAGTCATCAATCTTTGGCATTGGGTAGCATTCTTTCAGGCAAGTAGCATTTAAGTGGTGATGTCCATGCACATTTTCCACTTCCCGTTAGCATTCTGGACCATGACAGCATTGGAGACCTAGGTGAGGTATTATACCTCCCTGACATAGCTGACTTTCCTCTGCTTTAGCACTTCCAGCTTTATAAGTCAGATTGATGTTGTCGTCAAGTTTCTGATTATATGTTTTAGCTATTAAAATGTATTGTTCACATTCAACTTGTGGCAGGTGACCAAGATCGATATTCCAAGCATCTCTAATTCTGACCAAGTGATGATGTCCAGATGATCCCAAATTATTTGAGCCAGTAGCTCCCTATGTCTTGCATCAAAAATTTTTTAATCATAAAATATTTTCGAGGTTCTTCTTTGGTATCATGAATCTCTATGGTTCTCTTCTTTAACGACAATAATGATGTCATTGTAGGGATTCTTTAAGGGCTAGGTCCACGTTAGTCGTTGTAATGAGGGGCAACTTCCTTTCCTCTGCATGGAAGCAACATTGCATAGTTCCCCTGTCCCTTCTGCGAGGCTCTCCAAGATGTCTCTGCACCCTTGAAGATATCTGAGACTACCCTAGCAATGTAGACAACATTCATGTAGATGGGTCTATCTGGTACTTCTACTACCAGGTACTTTCTGTGCCTTTGACATAACGATCCCGATGCTACAAACTCCTTCAATTTTACTACTCGGGTCAGTTCTTCATATAGGTTTTGGAGGTGCCTACAATTTCTTATTTCATGGCCATGATCTCAATGGTACCTGCATTACTTCTTTGTGTCCCAGAGAAAAGCTCCAACCGTCATTGGTGGTTTCTGTTTGAAGTATCCATTGCCTTGGATGGCGCCCATAATCTCATCCATCAAGACTCTCAACGCAGTGACCTGAGGGCCCGCATATTCGTCAAATGATTGGTCATAATTTGGATTGGTGTCTCATAAAACTAAGTTGATCACTGGTCATGGCTCCTTGTCTGACTTCCCTAATTATTATTCTGGTCAGACTCTCAATTATCACGAAGAGATCGGACGTATTCATATTGTAGTTTGACAGGCCATTTGGTGTACCCCATTTGTTTCCACCCACTATTTTGTGAGGCTCTCTTTTGCGTTTGGCGGCCTATCTATTCTGGTTTGGGGATGCTCTCCTCAGTGGTGATAAGCTTATTGGTCATCTCCAACAATTCAACTAAATCCTAGTGCTCATGGAAATTGAGGTCATAACAGAACCTCTCAAACTTTAGGCCTTGGGCTAGGGCAGTATGTGTCATGTTAGCTCAGAGATCTTTTACCTCTATCATATCTCTCTGAAACTATAGAATGTATGAACATAAGCTTTCATTTAGTCCTTGCTTAAGCTGCCACAAGAAATGTGCGCTCTTCTTGGGTCTTTGGGAACTTGCCAACAACACCAAGAAAATTCTCATGAAGTACAACAAGCAACTGATTCCTCTAGCCAACACTGAGTTGAACCACCTAATGGCCAATGATCTCAAGGTGGTGAAATGAAAAATAAATGACATTTGAATGTGTTCATAACCTTTAGTAGGCACATTGATGATTTGAATGAGGCGAGGTGGTCGTTGGAATTCGATCGACCACTGTAACCCTCAAATGTTAGAATTTTAAATTTCTTGGAGAGCTCAACCATGAGTTTTAAAGGGAGAAGGGGTTCTCCAGCTAGCGTGGGGCCTCAGTGAGCCCAAACTGATGCCTCTCCACCTGCACTGATCCAACACTGTTCTATTACTCCAAATCTCCAGCCCTCTCCAAGCTATGGTTCATTCTTCTATGGTTGTGTGTTGGCACTGCCTCTTAAGGAGGGTTCTGCTCTCGAGAAGCCTGTTAGCCTCCTAGAGCTGTGACAACTCTCATGATGTCTGCGATCTGGCCTGACACCTTATTTGCTATCTGGGTTCTCAACTCCTACATCTCCCGCTGCATGAACTCCTCCATTACTTCTCAGGTACAATTGACATTGGCTATGCCTCCACTAGTGGTATTTTTCATACTATTGTTGTTGCGCCTTTCTTCTTATTAATGACATGATTTCGTGCTCACTGCACCTTCTATGATGTTGAATCTGAAATTATCTGGGAGACACTCAAAGAATATAACATAAAAGAGAATAAAAGAGTAGAGAAAGCCCAATATTGAAATAAAATTGTGTAACCTTTATTCATGAAATGAGCCCCTGTTTATAGGAAATGAGATCGTATGATTACATATGTACCCCTAGTAAAGTAGATACGATAGGGGGTAGTTTATGTGATATATAATTATAAGCCTAGTAGCCTGAGAAGCGCCTGGCTTGATTTTTAATCCGGGTAGCCAAGGTTGTGAAGTCGATCGGGAGGTGTTGGTCGCTCGTCTAAGATGCAGGTGGTTTCTTTCATCCGTCAGGTTTGGACGAGGAATTCCATTAAATTAACTGTGCAGGATCCGTTCTGATTACCCTTTGGAAAATTCTTTGACTCTCGTTCGACATAAGGTCTGATTCCTCCTGGCTAGCGAGTTCCGGGCTGATAAATGAACATTGCGGACATCACCTTCGGGCTGCTCCTGATGGGTTCCAACTTGCCACATCATCTTCTTTGGTGGCTGTTGAACTTCATTAAGATTCATGCTGACACATTTCTTATGTACAACTATTTTTATCAAAATTTTCTTTTCAAAGCTCAAATTGCTTTAGTTATGTATGTTAGTCCATTCAAGCCAATAATTTTTTTCAAAATCATTTATAATTTATATGTGATGAGATAAAACGAACTTTACCCATCATTTTGTTTAAAATAAGAAGTTTTACTGAGGGTAGAAACAACATAAATGTTTGCATTGAAAAATTCTTAATTTTCTTAAAATAAAATCATTTCTTCCTGTAATTTCATTACCAAGCTACCTACCATTGACTTGTAACACATCAACCTATCCCTCCTATAAAAGCAAATGCATTAATGCACTTTAGTCATTAATTAACTTGATCATCTCTTCCTAATCCATTCCTTTCCTTATTGAAACAGTTGCTCATACATCATCCATTCCTCTCCTACTCCAATTTTCATATTTTAACATCCTATAATTTGTGCACTAAAATATACTTAGCCCCGATACATTATCCCAAATAAAATAATTATTCCGAATATAATAAAATTAAAAATATTGTACAAGATGAAATTTTGAAAAACTAATTAGAATATTTATAAAGCAATTCATTGACTATGCTGTTTGCTAGCTGCCTTATATAAATGTTATGGGCATTTACATAATTTCCTATGTATATATTGGAATTGGTTGTAATGTAGGTGATGCAATCTTGGATGACAAAAGCATAGTCTTTTTAGGATCATTGTACATACATACATACATACATACATATATATATACATACATACATACATTCCAATATATCTTCGTGTGTAACAGTTACATTTATAACATTTACATCTTTCAAAATCACATAAAACTATCACTCTTATAAACTCTAAACGTAAAATATACATTTTAAAGCATAGATAAATAAAGTGGTATAAATGCAAAAATTAAATTTGAAGTTCTAGAAAAGTCCATAGGAATTGTGCCATATGTATCTAAATCTTTCCAAAAAATTATAGAATTCACAAATATATATATATATATATATATATATATATATAGATTGTTAAAGGCATGGCCGGAAGCTATTCTATGAGCCTCAGTCAATCCTCATGAGCCTAAAAATTCGAGTACCACACCCTACATTCGGGGGAAGTCGAACCAACCCAGACCAGAGGAGACGTACAACTGACAAACAGATGTCCGACCAACTGATTTGAGTACGCAGCGCATATATATACCACAACCTACACTCGGGGGAATCGAACCCCAGACCGAAGGAGACTTATAACTAACAGCAGGCTAAATTTTGAAGTGTTGAAGTATATATTTCATTATCTGGAGAAAATTTGCGCATGTAAGACGTACGTAGCGCTGCATATGAAAGTGTGAAAAATTTACAGGAAGGTTATAGGGGTTATAACGTAGATATAACCCCCAATACCCCTAAATAATCTTCCTAATATACGCAGCGCTGCGTACGTCTTACACTGCGCACGTCTTACACTGGGTACTTCTTACATACACAAAATTATCTCCATTATCTGGACATTTTCTATATAAGATCCTTTCATCCCATGCATTGTGATCCACAATTGAACTTTTTTGTAGCAGCTAACAACTCGATTATGGAGCTCAGCCTCTCCATCTTTCTCCTCTATTTCTCCTTCTCCTCTTTCCTTTTCCGTTTGTCAGCACAAACAGAAAGCAGCGCTCCCCCGGGCACCATCCAGCGTGCCACCAAGCAGCAGCTCCTCGTCGCCATCCCTCCCGGCGAGGCCACCGCTTTACCACCATTCCTGATCTCCCCCGCAGGTCATTTTCATTTGGATCGCTCCTTTGTTAATTAATGAATAAAATTGTATCTAAATACGCTGATAAATTTTCTTTCTTTTTTTTAATGAAAATAAATCTATTTTCTCCTATCTTGCCATGCATGCCTCTCTAATAATGCATGAGGTTCTGTATGTGTGGACTGGTGATGGATTTGGGGTTTATCAACCCAATACTATCGATCCACACCTATTCGGCATTTAGTTCGTCCACATGTAATATTTTTATCTGCCTAACAGGTAAGTATGTGGCCTACTTCCTCCGCACCCCAACGGCGCCCGACGCCGGTGGTTTTGGCAACGACTTCTGCTTCATCCAAGTCCAAGACACCGGTGCCGGAGAAAGCGTTTGGGAGTCGGAATGCGCACCTGTGAGCACTTCCAACACGTGCTCCCTAGTCTTCTCAGACGACGGGCTCGAGATTTTTGACGGGAGCAACTCGGCATGGGACTCCGACGCACAATCAAGCAGCGGGGATCCACTGCAGAGTCTGGAGCTAGTGGACGTAGGGGACATGAGAATACGGGATAATGAAGGTGAGCTGGCGTGGAAGGCGAGCGACGACCCGCGAAGCAACCAAAGGTGCGGTGAACGGGGGTCACCAGGGCTGGGGCCGACGATGCCTCCGTTTGCGGAGCCGATGGGGGGGAGTAGTAAGATGCCGTTTGGGCAGCAGGCGGCGGATGGGCAGGGGCAGGGTGGTGGGGGGAGTGATGGATTTGGGGTTGGCGGGCAGATGGGGGCGAGCAGCGCCGGCGGACGATATGAGGGTGGGAATGTGGGAATTTGGGTGCATGGGGGATGGTTGATGCTCATCTTTGTTATGATTTTTTGAGTTGTGAATGTGTGTTTGTGTGTGCGTTGATTGTATTATTATTAATTTGACAAAATTAATACTTGTGTTTGTTTGTTTTTTTTTTTGCTATTTTTATGGTACTAATATAAAAGGCATTTATAACGAAATGCTTGACAATTTTATATTTACAATTACAAAAGATTGGAGACAACTATTTTTATTTTGTAAGGTAATTTTGTTAAAATAAAATAAAGATAGTATAACAAAAAAGCGAACTTCTCCGAGATCCCAAATTTTGAGATGGATAGGATAATTAAACTGAAGATGTACAGACTGAGAGACCTAGTGTAAGATAGGCATAAACAAGATATTTTATAAGGGCTAACCATATAAATAAGGAGCATTAGATATAAAACATCTTCGGTCTCTTTTTCAAAGAGAGTTTTTCCTTTGACTATCCTTCCTCACCCAAGTTGAACTTCATGTTCAAGAATAAATCTTAGTTCAACATTTTGAAAATGTGTGTTGAGTATGAATCATGAAGAGGAGCAACACAAGGAGGAGAATTGAATAACCGTAAATCCATAAACAATTTGGACTACACTAGGGTTTTTCATAGCTCAGCTGATCTGTGAGCTCAAGAAGAATAGGATGGAAGTGATCAAGAAGATTCTCATTCAAGGGATAACGCCGCCACGTTGATCGGTGGTCCTTCCATGCGAAAGAAAAGAACATGGTGTCGATAAATGTAAATACTTTTGTGTAGTGGCTCAAGGCTAAGCAATAACTAAAACACTTCATCAACCAAGGGATCTTCATTCGCCACATTTATATCCCTTGGATCATGTTAATAGCGACCAAATCCCATAAATTCAAAAATACTTTTTAACTCATCGCAGAGACCCTGATAGCAGTCTCTATAAAAAACAACTCATTGGAGTAACCTAAGGCCAAGTCTGAATTGGTCTTTATAAAATAATAACTCTTTGCAGTAGAACCCTCTAATAGCGTTCGACCTACGCTTACGTAATCCACAACAAACCCCACAACAACCCCAATAGGTTTGCCTTGACAAAATCCATGGGACTATTACGAGAGGAAGAAAATATGACTAATCTAAGAGATATAGGCTTTAGAAACAAGTAACAGGAATAAAATCACCATTGTAAAAACCCTTATATAGGTGAAGAGGGAAATGCAGTTGCCAAATGAAAAAGATAAAAATTGAAAAACATGGAATGAGAAAATACTGATAGGTAGATCTGAAAGAACCAAATCATGCTAACATAATAATCAAAGCAACAAATTAGCATTCTAAAATTCTAAAATTTATTGCAAAAGAACAAATGTGTACAACTACATTATTTTAAGGGGAAAGAAAAAAGCTAATGATGGGGTCCAACACAATCTGAGTCTAAAAAACGATATTGAAAATACTTCTAATTTAAAGAAAAATAATGTTAAATCAAAGATTGGAAATATGCTAATCACACTACGAATGTATGTTGAAAGTTTCATGATCGCATAGTGATTATTTAACATCTTTAGCATTTTACGACAGTCCAACACATACACAGGTAATTGAAGTGATTGGTAGAGAATAAAATTTTTTACATGAAAAACTTGAAAAGGGAAAAAAACACATGATCTAGCCCAATAAGAATGATTCACTATAAGTTGATGAGTACACACATAGATGTGTCCCACAGGTGGAAAGTCTTACATAGTTCGTTGAAGTACAATGATCATGTGCAGAATGATTCATTGTGTGACGGTTGAGAGCGATTGCAATTGGGAGTAGTTACTAAGACTTTGGTGCACCATCTTCAAAGTGGGTCATTCTGCGATGTTCAAGATGATGCACTTCTCTGTAGGGTGCCTTATAACTCCGTATTGTTGGCATTTACTTCGCACCACTCTTCGTTATTACATGATGTATGTTGAGACTCCACAAGAGGCTTCGTTGCAACAATTAAGGGGCGGTCGATGTTGTTTAACAATTTTCGACGGTGGTCAGCTAGTGGTGGTCCATGGTGGTTGGCAACTGTAGAAGTGGAAAGCGTTCACTGTGCCTTTGGTCTGAAATGAAACTAGAATTCAGCTCATCTTCATGAACTAGCTCTTAGTTCAACTTTTCTTCTAGTTCAAGGCCTAGATCACATTTCATGGAGGGGGAATGCTCTATTTATAGAGTGTAGGAGTACCACCTTTCAAATAAGGAAGTAATTTATATCATTCCATCAGATGCTCAAAGAGATTCCCATGATCAAAATGCATTTTTTGGACATTTAAATGCCTTGACAATGTCATAATTGAGTGATCTTGGGTTCATTGATCTCATCTTATTGATACGTTTAAATTGGCAATAAACTTATTAGATTTAGAATCTATTTGAGCTTCTAATAAACTAACAAAAGCTTTCAGAAGTGGTTTAAACGCTTGATCCTACTTGATTTGACTTGGATTGGGCAATTTTTTTGTGTCATTGGGTCTGTCTAGTCGAGCCAATCAGTTTGACTGTAAGTTTACCAAATCAAAGCTTTGGATGATTTTTAATATGAGTATAAATATTTCTTGCTAAAGATGCTTTGAGATTCATGCCAATTAGCTCAAGATTTATGCTTAAAAATATTGATAATGTATCATTTGCCCCACAATTTTTTGGGTGATTCTGCTTACTCATCTAAATATTATCTAATAACGAAAATTTCTAAAAAATCTAAAAATTTGAAGTTTTCTGGCCATGACTGAGGACGATGGTAGCAGGTGGTGGAGGATAGTAAAGGAGGCAACTGGTGATGCTAAACAAAAAATGTGTTTACGGTGTTAGTGGTCGGTGGCTGATTATAGTGGATCATGTCTTACCATGGTGGGCTGCGGTGTCGGGCAGAAAACTGCCAGTGGCCTACCATGGAAAAAGGTATAGGCTGACAAATCTGGCCTATGACACAGGCCAGTTGAGCAGGTCAGGTCAATCGTGTTCGCTGAGCAGGCTAGTGCGCTGGAATGAGTTGGTAGGTAGGAACGAGTCAGCAGGTCTGGTGGGTGGAGTAGATCAGATGGGCGAAACTAGTTTGTGTAGTGCAGGGTTGTATCAAGTTACCGCTGAGCAGGCTAGTGCGCTGGAATGAGTTGGTGGGTAGGAACGAGTCAGCAGGTCGGTCGGGTGGGTGGAGTAGATCAGATGGGCAAAACTAGTTTGTGTAGTGCAGGGTTGTATCAAGTTACACGGTCTTGTGATCAACCTGATGTAGCCCAATATGAGTGATCAAAACTACCAATTATGCTTAGAATTCACACGTTGTTGCACTATCTCATTCTAAGTTTGTTGGATGCCACATGATTCTTGCTAGATCAGATAATCGAGGCTATAAAAATTATGTCAATCTTGGTGTTATTCAAAAAATTGGAACAACATACCCACATATTACGTCAATAGCCACACGATTTGGGTAATTGTGCGGCTCCCACGAATGCAAGATGCCAATATCAAGGATTAAGACTTTTTAGGAGTTTTTTCACCATTTGAGCAAAAAAGAATGTCAGATAGAAAAGAAAAAAATATAGTGTCCCAGCTTACATTTGTGTGATCGACAGAGCATCCTTTTGCATTATCGTTACCATGTTCAAGTTAGCCAGCCTATTTTAGTGCGATCAACAGATCTTCCTTTTGCATCGTTGTTGCCTACCTCAAAGTCTCACCACCAATTTTTGGGTGATCAAGCGAGTTCACTTGGCCTACTAACTAGAGTATCCCAACCTATTTTTCTGCGATCAATGGAGCTTCCTCAGCCTTCTACTTAGAGTCTCTCAGCTAGGTTTTATGCAATCAATGGATTTCCCTTGGCCCACTTTTGGGCCTCCATTTGTTTTTTTGTTGTACACTTTCAGAGGGGATATTTTACTCTTTGAGATGCCAATGTCTGGGGAACCCCGTTCTACTAAAAATTAATAGAAGTATCAGAATCCCAAAGAGAGATTGAGGACAACCTGATGTTATTTTGAAAAAGAAATTTATTTCTCAAACAATGTGGTAATGAAGTTACGACCTTAACCGATTGAACATACTCTCCTCTTCTAGGATACATTTCCATTTACAAGGCACATTGCAGGCCAATTTGTGATTTCTACCAACACTCATGTTGATGGACATTCTGAAAGCGACTAGGGTTAGAATTTCAAAGCATTCTTGTTATATGAGAAAAGTCTTCATTAGTGTATGTTTTCATTCTTTTTCTCTTTTTATTTTTAAAAGAGATTTCAGTGTTTCCATCATCATATAATTTCCTTTTCTGAATAAGTTCACTTCCAGATCATATGAATGATCAGAAGAAGAGAGGAACCAGAAAAGACTCACATACAAAAAAGACGACAAGTATGAGAAAGAACGTGGATAGCCTACTTGTGATAAACCTCACAAAGATAGGTCAAATATGTCTATTAAAATAAGCTGGGAGGAGATATTGCAGCCACTTAAGCCCATTACCAGTGTGAATGTGACATATTATTCACATCACTCCATTTTTGGCTGGAGAGGAGAATTTTCTAGTGGTTATGCTGCTTCTACATCTCGAGCTTCTACTTCACGTTCTTCTACATCTCAGGGTCAGACTTTTGGATATGATCTCAGTCACATGATTCTCAGTCACAACTATTGTAAAGGATATTGGATAATGTTAACTACACTACAAATGAGGTATTAAATTTAGAAAATTTTGTAGCGCATATGGATGGATACAAGAAGAGACATAGTGATTATGAGGGAGAATACAACTTAGCTATGGAAAACCTTATGAGAGGTAACTAAGATGTAGTTTTTCCTCGATATCCACTATATGAGCCTGCAAGTCCTTGTAATGATGAGAGTGATGCAGTGGATGAGGATGATTAAACTGAATTTATGATTTTGTTTGATTTTTAGTTTATGTATTGTTGTAAACTGTTGATGGTGCAGTTATTCTGTACTTTTTTATTGTGTTTAAAATGTATTTGTTGAGACTGCTAGTTTTTGTTATGCTTTGTTTCATTGGACACTATTA